ATATAGAATACACACACACACACACACACACACACACACACACACACACATTCTTATATAATAAAAGGCTAACATGCAAATTGTCTCCTCGACCAGGAGTTTAACAGGGAGTTTGACTCAAAGTTTAATTGGGGGGGGGGGGCTTGAGAAGGGGAGGGACCATGGCCCTTCTCCCCAGCCAGCCCCCACTCGTGCACGAATTTGTACACCAGGCCTCTACTATTAATAAAAAATAAAATAAAAAGAAAGACAAAAGGGTGTGTGTGTGTGTGTGTGTGTGTGTGTGTGTGTGAGAGAGAGAGAGAGAGAGAGAGAGAGAGAGAGAGATTTCTAATTCTTTTAGACTCTTCTCAATCAATACCTTTCCTCCTGCAGGTTACTATTATTCTGACTTCTGTTAGCTATAGATTAGATTTGCCTGTCACTGAACTTCATATACATATAAGAGAATCCCATTGTACCCAGGGAGATTGGCTTCATAATATGTCTTAGAACTGTATTGCTTGATTCTGCAAGTTGGTTTTATTTTAAGTTGTATAGTATTTTTTTGTATGGATGTGCCACAGTTTGTTTATAAATTCTCTTGTTAATGGATAGGTATTATTGTGGGCATAAGCACTTATTTCTCTTGGATGCATAAAGTTGAAATTGCTGGGTTATAAAGTAGATGGTTTTTAGAAACTGCCAGTTTTGTAGTATGTATGTATCATTTTATACATCTACCAACAGTATGAGTTCTATTTTTTTATGTCCTCATTAGCACTTTGATGTATTGCATATATTGTTTTGAGGTAGGGCTTTCCTGTCCACTTATATTAAATCTTTTATAATTTGCTTGTATATATTTGTTTAATCTTTTTTTCTTTTTTGAGTGATTAACTCTTGCTCTGATGTTCCAGATATTTTCATTTCCTTTTATATTGTTTACACTTATGGGGAGGGGCATGTGGCTCAGATGGTGGCATCGTCCCTTACACTAAAAGATTGTGGGTTCCATCCCTGGTTGGGTTACATATGGGAGGCAATGGATCGATGTTTTTCTCTCTTCCTCTCTCCTTTTCTCCTTCTCTTCTCTCCCTTTCTTCCTCTCTCCCTTCCCCAAACCCTTCTCTTAAAACAAAGTTTTACTTGATACTAAAACTCTCCTGTGGCTTTCAGTTTTCATCATGGTTAGGTTTTATCCACTAAGATGATAAAAATAGATACCATGGCCATGGCTGGGTAGCTCAGTTGATGCAGTGGTTTTCAACCTTTCTAATGCCTCGACCCTTTAATACAGTTCCTCATGTTCTGGTGACCGCCAACCATAAAATTATTTTCATTGCTACTTCATAACTGTAATTTTGCTACTGTTATGAGTCATAATGTAAATACCAGTGTTTTCTAATGATCTTAGGCTCTAGAGCAGCGGTTCTGAATCTGTGGGTCCCGAACCACAGGTTGAGAACTGCTAGCAGGGTCTCATACAAGTCAGAGCACATACAAGAAGCAACCAATGAATGTATAAATAAGTAGAACAAGTCGATGTTTCTTTTCCTCTCTATCTAAAATCAATACATTTTTAAAAGATAGATACCGTGGTTCCCTTTAATTACTCTTGCAGTTTTATTTTTTTATACTTAAACTTGACATTAGAAAGTGGTAGAGGTCCTTTGTTAATGTAACACTTATGGGAGTACCTATTGTGCTGTAGGAAGATATAGTAAGTGGAATATGCTCACTTATGTGTAGTATCCACCCAACAAAAACTGGTGGTGGTTTTGTTGTTTTAGCATGACTCCTAAGCATAAACCACTAACTTCATTGGGGGTTCCAATCATTGAAAGCAGTCTTTTTCAACTCAGAAGGAAAAATGCAAAATTGGGACCTTAAGAGAGTGTTGCTTTCTTCAACCCGAAGAGAGACAAGCTCCCGATTCTTCTGAAATCCAATTTCTGGGGAGAGGCTAGACTGTCTGCCATTGGGTTGGAAAGTGAGGGTGGCTTACTTGCAGAGCTGCGTGTAAGAATATTTTGTTTGCTGTCCTGGGGCACGAGACACGAGGAGACGGGGAGACACGGAGTTGTGGTTGGAGAGGCTCAGAGAGGTGGCGACGGGCAGCCTGTGCTGTTGGCCATGTCCCAGCCCAGTGACACCCTGAGACTCAGCCCCAAGACTCCGCCCCGCACAACCGACAAACACATCCAAGCTCCAAGCAGTGGCTTTTGCATATGAATGGCCCTCTCTATTGCAGTTTAACTAAGGAGAGGACTGTGGTTCTCCCTGTAGATCCTGCAGAATGGCCTCAGACAGTAACTGAACTGCACCCCATTGGAGATCCAGAAGCCAGTGTTCCTAACTCTCAATTTCAACCCCTCACACCCATAAGTGACACATTTGGGAGACGTTCTCAGTGAGCACCAAAGCCCCACTGAAACAAGGCGTATCTCCAGCACAGCAGTTCTTCCTTTATAGACACAGCGGGTCCTCACAGGCAATTAGCCTGGAGATCAATTCCTCCCAGTGTTTAATTAGCAATCAAGGCCTAATTACACCAAGACTTTGCACTCAGCCCACAAAGGGATATACCAAAAGTGACCACCTCAGGTGATTGGGGAAGCTGAGCTACTGGCCCCTATAGGTCATTAACCACACAAAGCCACTCCATCAACACAGGGAGGCAGCCAAAATGAGGAGACACAGAAGCATGTCATGAATGGGAGAGATGGAGGAAAATAAACTACTGGACGACAGAGTTCAGAATCACATTTATAAGATTATTCAAGAATCTTCTAAAAACCTTTGAGAAACTTGATGAGACATCCAAGAAGCTTTGTGAGACCTTCAAGGACCTTAATGAGAATACCAAAAAATGGAAAAGGACCAGTCAGAAATTAAGCATACACAGTCTGAAATAAAGAATATACAGAAATTCAATTATAGATCAACGTGCCCGAAGAATCAGACCAAAGATCTGGAATATAAGGAAGCAATCACCCATACAGAGAGGCAAAAAGAAGAATCCAAAAATGTGAGGATAGTGTAAGGAACCTCTGGACGGCTTAAAGCCTACCAACATCCGGATTTTTGGGATGCCAGAAGAAGAGAGTGAGCAGGATATTGAAGGCCTATTGGAAGAAATAATGACAGAAAACTTTGCCTACCTGGTGAAAGAAATAGACCTACAAGTTCAGGAAGCATAAAGAACCCCAAACAAGAGGAATCCAAAGAGGACCACACCAAGACACATCATAGTTAAAATGCCAAGGGCAAAAAAAGACAAAGAAAAAAAATCTTACAAGCAGCAAGAGAAAAACAGCTAGTAGTAGTAACCTACAAGGGAATACACATACAACTCTCACTGATTTCTCAACAGAAACAATGCAGGCCAGAAGGGAGTGGCAAGAAATATTCAAAATGATGAACAACAAGAACCTACTACCAAGATTACTCTACCCAGCAAAGCTATCATTCAGAATTGAAGGTCAGCTAAAGAACTTCACAGACAAGAAAAAGTTAAAGGAATTCATCAACACCAAACCAGGATTACATGAAATGTTGAAGGATATTCTTTAAGGAGAGGAAGAAGCAGAAAAAGGTAAAGGTAAAAAATATGAATAATAAAAAGACATCAAACACATACCTACCAACAAGTGACTCTAAAAATCAAGTGAATAACAAATCTGAAGAACAAAATGGACTGGTGAATATAATAGAATCAGGGACATAGAAAGGGATTGGACTAATAATTCTCGGGGAAAGGGGTTGAGGGGTGCAGGAAGGGATTGGACAAAAATCTTACACCTATGGATGAAGACAGTGGCAGGGGTAAGGGCATGGGGTGGGGTTGGGAATCAGGTGGAGGGGAGCGATGGGGGTGGGGGTTAGAGGAACACCTGTAATAATCTGAACAATAAAGATTTATTATTAAAAAACAGAAACTAATCATTAACTATGTTCAGACCTATTTATAGAGCACTGAAAAGGGCAAATACCTCCCCTTCGTGCACTTAATTACTCCTGTTTAGATCTTGAATTTAAGCATTACTTCTCTGAATTAGGAGATTCTCCTTTTGAATCTTCCATTATGTCCTCGACTTCTTTATTGCAATTACCTGTTTATCTTGTTTTTCTTCAGTAAAGTCTTAAATTTCCATGAGGTCAGGGAGTCTCATTTGTTATGGTCAAACCTATATTTACAGCTCCTGGCGATGGTGTCTTGCACCATGAAAACACCTACATAAATAAATTTTGGCCTGACCAGTGTGGCTCAGTTGTTGAGTGTCGACCTATAAACCAGAAGGTCATGGTTCGATTCCTGGTCAGAGCACATGCCCAGATTGCCAGCTCAATCTCCAGTGTGGGGCATGCAGGAGGCAGCCAGTCAGTGATACTCTCTCATCATTGATGTTTCTATCCCCCCAGTCTTTCTCTGAAATCAATAAAAACATGTGTTGTTGGTTTTAAAGAATAGCTTTCCTATAATTCCACTATCCCAGAGATAATTAGCATTTTGGATGTATTTGTTTCTATATATGTTGCAATGCATATGCTATAAAAGTATTTATTAAATTATTGTCATAGTTTGTATCCTTATTGAATGGTCAAAATATTGCTTTTTAATTTTTCTATTGAAATATGCATATAAAAAGGTGATCATTAGGATATAGTTGATTGATTTTTACAAACTGAACACACAACGTTTCTATGAGACATTATTACTGAATTGGGGAAATAGGTGTCACAGAGAATATTGATTTTCAGCTACTAGTACCAGTATAGGTTAAGAATGCTAACTGGGGTAAATGGGAAATGCAGTTGAATGAAGGCAAATGCAAACATTCCAAATGTTTTAGGAGTTAGGATGTTAAATTTTTTTTTTTTTTTAGTTATTATAGGTGAGTAACAGAAAATAAGGCTGGGACCAATTTACAGAGAGCCTTTTGTAACAGCTAAACCATGAAATAGAAGACTGAGAATATTTGTTTGCTGAAACTTAAAATGTATGTTTTTGTTTATAGGCACACAAGTCTCTGAATTTTGTTTCGACACTGCTTCAGATTACTATGTCAGAACAACTGGATTTACCTGTGAGACAAGCAGGCAAGTTTCCTGAATTATTTTCTTTAGTGTATGTAAATAACTTGTTTAAAAGGTTTACAGTTGAATATCAGAAATATTCTGGATGGCCCTTCAGTGATTTTCTTCCCTGAAAATCAGTTTACCCTTATGTGTTTACTGCAAACATCAGGTGCCTTAATATTTGGTGACAGAGTTTAATTTAAAGGAATGTAGTATTTCATTGGATTAGAAGAGAAGCGGGTAAGAGAAATTGATAAGGTTTATTAAAAGACTCTTTGTCCTAGCTTGTTTAGCTCAGTGGATAGAGCATCTCCTCAGGTAAGGATTAACAACAACACAAAACGATTCTTTGTTTATGTGATTGTTCCTTATAGCTATTTGCTTTTACTGTTTATCACAACATTTTAAAAAGTACTATTTCTTAGTTCAAATTTTAGCGAGATACTGAGCAATTCCTTCAGTATCAGAGTCTGAAAATGTGGCACACTACTTCTGATATAATCTGATAGTCTGCAAAATAATGGACTTTATATGTTTGTGTTTTATTTTTATTTATTTGCAGATATATAAATTTCATAGGAAATATAGAAAAACAATTATAATTTATATTCTGGTGTTATTTTTTGTAGAAAAACAATCATAATTTATATTCTGGTGTTATTTTTTGTAGAAAAACAATTATAATTTATATTCTGGTGTTATTTTTTTACCCTTATACCAGTTTTTTTGTTTGTTTGTTTGTTTGTTTTTGTTTTGTTTTAAGTGCTCTTTTCCTTTCTTTTTTTTTTTTTTTTTTTTTTTTTTTTTTTTTTTTTTAGTTTTAAAAATGAATTTATTGGGCTTATATTAAGAAAACCATACAGGTTTCAAGTGTACATTTCTATCACACATCATCTGCATACCGCACCATGCACACCACCCAAAGTCAAGTCTCTTTCTGTTGGCAATGAAAATGTCACCGGTTGTTGCTGGCTTTGGAGCTGGGTTCACCAACCTTAGTACTTGAGTTCTGACTAAGAAAGAATTCAAAGTCAAGAGGAGGTCATGTTTTTGTATCCATTTAGTTACCCTCTGTCTTTATATTGGAGCATTTAAGCCATTTACACTTAAAGTTATTATTGATAGGCACATATTTATCGCCAGTTCACTTTTTATACCTATGGTTCCTCTCTTTTTCAATTTTTTCCCCTTTCTTCTTCTTCTTAAAGTAGACTCTTTAACATTTTTTGTAATACAGGTTTGGTGGTAATTAACTCCTTTAGCATTTTGCTGGTTTATTTTTTCCTGGGAAGCTCTTTATTTTCTCCTTGAATTTTAAATGCTAGCCTTGCTAGGTAATCTTGATTGTAGGTCTTTACTTTCCATCACTTTGAATATTTCATGGCAATCCCTCCTGGTTTACAGTGTTTCTGTTGAGAAATCAGCTTTCAGCCTAATGTGAGCTTCTATGTGGATAACCATTTTAATTTTGATGTGCCTTGGTTTGTGCAAAAGGTAGAAATGCCTTAAGAAATAAAGAACTTTTGAATATGATAGAGAAACATATCAGGCTCCTTGTCTTTAGACAATGGACATTTTAAAAATAGTATCTAAAGAGAAAATCAGGTCTATGACAGATTTGAACAGGCTGACTTTTATGTGAACATAAAATACAAACCATACAATATGTTAGCTAAGTCTCTTGGACAGAACTGAAAGCGGAGCAAATGTAATCAATTTAGGATATTATTAAAACCTAAGGGGAAATGAAATGTCCGTTTTGGTAACGCTGGGTGTGTCTGTGTTTCTCACACCTCAGTGTTATTGTGGATGCTCCACTGGCTTTCTGCAAAATCCTGATGGTCTGCTAACCCTGGCTTCATCCAGGCTTGCATGGAACACACATTGGAAGCACTTGAGGTTAAGAGATCTCTCTCCCTTGCATGACAAAGAGTTTTAAAGGCTGTTCTCCTCTCACCAACCATGCTCCCTGTCTAAATTCTTTAAGCCTTTGGACTCTGTCCTATAAAAATGCAGAAGCACAAGTGCACAAGGAGTCCCACTGCAGCTCCATTTGTTGTAGCCTTCCATTGGAAGCAAACCAAGTGTCAGTCAACAGGAGCGTGGTTGAGTAAATTATGGGACATCCGTAACCTGGAGGGTTACGCTTCCTTTAAAAAGAATGAGTTTTATACATTCCACTCACTGGCTCTGCTTAAAACTCTACAGGGTTTCCATTTATATTCATGCAAATCCCAAACTCCTTCCCCTGGCTAAAATGCCTCCATCAGCAGGCTATGCCTGCCATTCTGACTCCAGGGTTTTCACTCCCTGTCCTCTGTTCAGACTCAATACGATGGCCTTCTCCATCAGCTTCTCCTTGGCCGCTCCCAGCTCATGGCCACCACATGTCCTTAGTGATGGGGTGGGGAACCTTTTTTCTGCCAAGGGCCATTTGGATATTTATGACATCATTCACACAGGCAATACAGAATTACCAACTTAAAAATTAACCTGCTATATTTGCTCAAACATTTAATTAATTCATCTTTAATGCCTTGACAAGACCAGACCAAATGATTTCTCGGGCCTTATATGGCTCGATGGCCAGACATCCCACACTCCTGCTTAAGTGTATATTAAGCATTTGTCTTTTTTTTACATAATGTTAGGGCATGGCTCAGGGGTCCCGGTCAGGCCACATGCCCGGGTTGCGGGATCAATCCCCCCAGAGTGGGGTGTGTGGGAGGCAGCCAAGCCATGATTCTCTCTCATCATGATCTCTCTATGTCTCTGTCCCTTCCTCTCTGAAATCAATAAAAATATAATTTTTTTAAAAGTTATATTCACCATAAAGTGCCATATGCGGTAAACTATTTCTCAGTTGTTAGGATTTAATTCCAGGTCTGAACATTAACAGTATTTCCAGTGCCTAAAATATTGCCTGACACATTGAGGATACTCAGTTAATAAATGACTGAACATAATGTAATTACTTTATGGTTTAAAAAAAATGGTATATAAGTTACACAGTAATGGAACCTTTTTGTTCCATTATTGTGTAACATATATATATATATATATATATATTGTTACACAAAAGTATATATATATTTACTGATTTCGGCAAGGGAGAGAGAGAGAGAGAGAGAGAGAGAGAGAAACATAGATGATGAGAGATAATCATTCATTGGCTGCCTCCTGCATGCCCCTACTGGAGATGGAGCATGAAACTAGGGTATGAGTGTGCCTTTGACTGGAATTAAACTTGGGACCCTTCAGTCTGCAGGCCGACGCTCTATCCACTGAGCCAAACCAGCTAGGGCAATGGAACCTTTTTGTACCTAGAAAATGTAGCAATTAACTGGGTCCTGATCAGCAGTGAATTATTTTCTTTTTTAAAAATATTTTTTATTGATTTTAGAGAGGAAGAGAGTGAAAGAAATATCAATGATGACAGTCATTGCTTGGATGCCTCCTGCACACCCCTCCTCTGGGGTTCCAACCTGCAACCTGGGCATGTGTCCTGATCAGGAATCAAACCAGAAACCTTTTTTTTTTTTTTTTTTTTTTTTTTTTTTTTTGGTCTTTATAAATTTTATTGATTTTGTACAGAGAAGAAGGGAGAGAGACAGAGAGTTAGAAACATCAATGAGAGAGAGTCATAGATCAGCCGCCTCTTGCACACCCCCTACTGGGATATGCCCGCAACCAAGGTACATGCCCTTGACCAGAATCGAACCCGGGACCTTTTAGTCCCCAAGCCCACACTCTATCCATTGAGCCAAACCAGTTTCGGCCAAACCAGAAACTTTATTCATAAGTCAAATGTTCAACCATTGAGCCACACCAGCTGGGCCACATGATATTTATCTTTCTCCGATTAGCTTATTTTGCTTAGCATAATGCTCTCCAGTTTCATCTAATTCATTTAATTCCAGGTCTGAACATTAACAGTATTTCCAGTGCCTAAAATAATGCTGTCGCAAATGGTAAAAGTTCCTTCTTTTTTATAGCAGCGTTAATAAGTATTCCATTGTGTCGATGTACCACAATTTTCTAATCCATTCATCTGCTGATGGGCACTTAGGCTGTTTACAAATCTTAGCTATTGTAAATTGTGCTGCTATGAACATAGGGGTGCATATATCCTTTCTGATTGGTGTTTCTGGTTTCTTGGGATGTAGTCCTAGAAGTGGGATTGCTGGGTCAAATGGGAGTTCCAGTAATCCCATTTTTTGAGGAAATGCCATACTGTTCTCCGTAGTGGCTACACCAGTCTGCATTCCCACCAGCCATGCACGGGGGTACCTTTTTCTCTACATCCTGGCCAGCACTTGTCATTTGCTGATTTGTTGATGATAGCATTCTGACAGGTGTGAGATGGTACCTCAATGTTGTTTTGATTAGTATCTCTCAAGTGATTAGTGACTTTGAGCATGTTTTCATATGTCTCTGGGCCTTCTGTATGTACTCTTTCGAAAAGTGTCTATTTGGTCCTTTATCAATTTTTTATTGGATTGTTCATAATCATTCTTTTAAAAGTTACATCCTTGTAATTATTGAATGATACTCTGTAGTGTGTGGTACTCTGTCGTTTCATCTACTAGACTTTGAAAGATCTTGTCTTTATAGTTGTAGTGGAGTTACATTCTGGATGGAGTGGACTGAATCACGAGATTTCTTTCAGTGCAGTTCTCACTTGTTGGACCAGTCAACTTTTAAAATACCAAATCAACGTTTTACAAATAAGTATCTATACTCCATTCCTTTGTGCATAACAGTAGAAAGAAATATCAAATCTTTTTTTGGTCTGTATTCTGTTTTGGAGCTAAAGAATCAAAATTCTAGCTGAAACCGGTGTGGCTCAGTAGATAGAGCATCGGCCTGCAGACTGAAAGGTCCCAGGTTCGATTCCAGTCAAGGGCATGTACCTTGGTTGCGGATACATCCCCAGTAGGGGGTATACAGAAGGCAGCTATTGATGTTTCTCACTCATCGATGTTTCTAACTATCTTTCTCCCTTCCTCTCTGTAAAAAAACAAAAAAAACAATCAATAAAATATATTTTTTTAAAGAGAATAAAAATTTTAGTAGTAGTATTAATCTGAAACCTACCAGTCTGAAATACTGAGTCAGTGTTTACTATAGATATATATTACCTTAAAACTTTCATTGAAGGGTATTTTAATATGTAGTCTTAATCTTTTTTGAAATATTATAAGATGGGGTATTTTATTTTATTTTTTTAAATATATTTTATTGATTTTTTTACAGAGAGGGAGAGAGAGGAATAGAAAGTTAGAAACATTGATGAGGGAGAATCGTGGATCAGCTGCCTCTTGCACACCCCCTACTGGGGATGTGCCTGCAACCAAGGTACATGCCCTTGACCGGAATCGAACCCAGGACCTTTCAGTCCACAGGCCAATGCTCTATCCACTGAGCCAAACCGGTTTCAGCAGATGGGGTGTTTTAACTTCCTTTTCCTATACATTTGTGATTGAGTGTTCCCTCTCCTTTTTCATCCCACTCTACCCCCTTCATTTGGGGGGAGAGTGATGGATAAACAGTATTGTTAGCGATCTAGTTTAATTCAAGTAAATTAGCAATGAACATTACAGCAGTTTGCTAGCTGACAGAAAATAATATGTAATTTTGAACAGCAAATTCTCCCATAAAAATAACATAAATTTGAAGCAGTGTAATTGTAGTGTATGATTGAAGTGCTTAGATTTGTAGACTAAGTTTCTCCACATACTATAATTTTTCTGTGATAAAAATAACCTTTGTGTGTATCTTAGTTGGTCTGTTGTAACAGAATACCATACACATGGTAGCTTATAAACAATTTCCTTATCACATTTCTGCAGGCTGAGAAGTTCCAGATCACAGCACTGGCAGATTTGGTATCTGCTGAGGATCCACTTCTGGTTCATAGAACCTCAGATAGTAGGAGCAGTGAGCAAGTTCTCTAAGGTCTCTGTTATAAGAGCATTAATCTCATTCATGAGGACAGAATGCCCAGTCACATACCAAAGGCCTTAATGGCATCACATTAGGGATTAGGATTTCAATCTGAATTTGAGGGGCCACAAACGTTAACTCTGTAGCAGTGATACTAGTTGTAGAAGTGCGATTGGTGTGTGTAGGTGGTTTTGTCTTTAGGGCCTTCATTTAGAAAACTAATTTATTAAAATTAATCTAAATAGCTTTTCTACAGAAAATCGGATAAAATTGTTATGAATAAATTTGACATAAAAGATCTTAACAGTTTAATTTATAGTGAGTTTACTTACAAAGTTAACTTAGTCTCTTTAATAAAATGTTTTAGATGACTACTGTAGCTAATTATTAATTTGTGTTTGATTATCAACTTTTAAAAATAAGTGTTTTATTTTTAAAATGATAGTGTTACAACAATGGTTGGTCTGAAAGAAAAAAATGCAAGTGTGGACATTTATAAGGGATATTCTCACTGCTTTCATAGTAAATACTTCTTTGTCAAATTAATCTCTATCCATGGCTCAATAACTCAGTTGATTGGAGCATTGTCCTGATACACCAAGATTGTGGGTTCAGTCTCTGGTCAGGGAACATACAAGAATTAACCAATGAATTCACAGATAAGTGGGGCAAGAAATCAATGTTTTTCTCTCTTCCCCTTTTACATATCATTTTTATTATTTTGTTGTTGTTAATCCTCACCTAAGGATTTCCATTGAATTTTTAGAGAGAGTGGAACAGAGAGGGAAAGACAGAGAAACATCAATGTGAGAGAAATTCGTTGATTAGTTGCCTCCTGCATACACCCTGACGAGGTCCTGGGCCAGAGAGGAGCCTGAAACCAAGGTACATGCCCTTGACTGGAATTGAACCCGGGCTCCTTTGGTCTGCAGTGCTCTGTCCACTAAGTCAAACTGGTTAGGGCTCAAATCGTTTTTAAATATTAATCTATATTTTAGGTGTTATCTATTTGAAGAATATGATAACGCAGTATTGGCCAGATCGCGAGACAGCACCACGGGATATATCTCCATATACTATTCCAGAAGAAGATCGACATTGTATTCGAGAAAATATTGTAGAGGCCATTATCCACTCTCCTGAGCTCATCAGGTATATATATATACATACATACATACATACATACATACATGTGTATTTCTTTAAGCCTATCCATTTTTGCAGGTATATAATTTGTGGGGGTTTTGGGAGGGAGAACAAGGTAGAGGAGTCATTTCAGAAAATTTAACAAATGCTATTACAGGAGAATTTGTTTTATTTTCATACTGCAATTAAATTTTACATTTATAAAACAAATTACTTAAACTTCATGTGAAACACACTGATCAGATGAAAGAAGGTAAAGAAAACTAGAATGTTGACATTTACAATATAGATGTCTAATTTATATCTAGTCTTTTGATCTTTGAAATTGTAGGAACTGGTTTTTACAGTAATTTTTGTCTAAACACATTAAGAAAAATATTTTTTAATAAAATTTTATCTAGGTAGTATTTCTTCCTTCTAATTGTTTATTTTTTTACTTTCAGGGTACAGCTTACAACATGCATTCATCATATCATCAAACATGATTACCCAAGTCGCTGGACTGCCATTGTGGACAAAATTGGCTTTTATCTTCAGTCTGATAACAGTGCTTGTTGGTTAGGAATTCTTCTTTGCCTTTATCAGCTTGTGAAAAATTATGAGTAAGTGTCTCTTTCAATTCCTATATAGTTTTGAGAAGTAGGAAAGTTTGGAAATTTTATACATTAAAATTAGTGAATTATGTTATTTGAATTCAGCGTTTTCTTTCTGAAATATTTTACTTCTGTATTGCCTTCCGTTCATTCAACTAATAAACTACTTGTGCCCTTTTTTCTTAATCATATATTTCCCTATTCATTTTTTAAAAATATGTTTTTATGTGTTTCAGAGAAGGGAGAGAGAGAGAGATAGAAACAACAATGATGAGAGAGAATCATTGATTGGCTGCTTCATGCATGCCCCCTACTGGGGATCGAGCTTGCAACCTGAGCATGTGCCCTGGTCAAGAATTGAACTGGGACCACCTGATTCATAGGTTGACATTCAACCACTGAGCCAAGCCAGGCAGGCTGGTTTCCCTTTTCAAAAACTGAGTTATATCGAACTCTCCAATATGGGCTAATAAAGGCTTTTTTAAAATGTGAAGGGAATCAGAATACATTAAGCATTAGAGCTCTATTCTGGCTTTCTGTGAAACTTTATCTTAATTTTGGGATCTTGATAACATACAAGACCTACTTCTAATTCTTTTAAGAACATGTTGGGATTTCATATGTCTAGTTTTAATTATTGTATATTGAGGGAATCACAATCACCTATTTCAGTGTTTGCATATTTGAGCAAATTAGAGTTCATATCAATATCAGTAAGACATTGTTTTAGACCAAGGAATCATTTTAGATCTGGGTTTAGGGATCAGGGGAAAAAAGTCTAACCTTGGAAGTTGAGGTATATAGCACTAAAAGTAGTAAGTCAAATGTAAAGGGGTTTTCTCTAGTGGTGTGTTGAAAATAATGAAAATGATAGGCACATTAAAGTTTCAACCTTAGACAATTATGAGGAAGGGTTGAGGAATGCTTACACCATGACGGTGACTTTATTTCCAGTCCTAATAGCTACACAGATGCCATTGTGAGCCCTCTAATTCTGGGGCTTTGTAGTTAGCCTGCGATACCCTTTTGGGTCCCAAGTCAAAGTAGCTCGTGAACTGCTGCTTTTGTTCTGAGCAGGAGAGAAATATACCATTTACAGCATTGGTACTGGTGTTTTCTTGTGTTTCCACCAGCTACCCATCTTTCTGCTAAGGAATGTTCCAGCTGTTGCTCCAACCTCTGTCAGAGTGCCAGTTGTAGTTCTGGTAAGTGAGTGACTAAAATGAGAGAGAATAACAATAATAAGCTGTTTTTGTTTGAGGAAGTTTAAGTCTCTCCTATCCTATAATCTTAGCAGGAGAGAATTTGACAGGGATTTTTTTAAAATGGGAGATAGGAGGCTGCTACAATATTGGATTTCCAGTTCATTTTCTGCCAGTGCTTGATTGTGGAGCACAAGGTGTTCACTAGGGATCTGTGTGGACTGAAGCAGTTCTAAGAAAATTCATGGAGAAATTGGAAGTTGTGGTGGCCTTCAGGAGCATAGATCCTCAGGAAATACTGTCAGTTGAAGGAGCACAGAAGGAACATTTGAAGAGGAAGGCATGTCACACTATATGGAATAGTGTGAGCAAAAAGAAAGGTACAGAGGTGGAAATGAGATACTTTAGTGGGTAGTTAGGAGACTAGTGTGGTATGGATACTTTCTGTTGAGAATTTGGGTGTAGTTTTGGAACTGTGTTAAAGAGGGTTTTTAATGTCATCATGGGAAATTTGTATGTGATGTTTAGATACTGATGAACTATTGAAGGTTTTTGTGTTGTTGTAGTTTTTTCTGTTTGTTTTTTTTTTTTAACACAAGTTATGGGCTAGTATTTAAGGATTTTCTATCAACATAGCTCATCAGATGGACACACCATAACCTTGTAGTCAGCTTTTATTGGTATCACATTTTCACAGAAACTTTCAGGTCTTATGGAGAGTGCAAGTGACTTCCTTGTATGTAAATTGTTATATTGACTCAGAAATGGAGGGATAACCTTTTCAATTGTGTTCTCAGCAAATAATCAGTCAGTTTGTTGTTTAAAAGTCTCAAGGCATTATTTGTGTGAACATTTCTCTTGGTATTTTTTATTCTTGGCAATTGACCTTAGTTCTCATTTCCCCCAATAGCTAAAAAGAATCTAGCCTTTTAAGAGTGTCTACCTTTATCTTTTAAAAAGGTGCTCACATATGCAATTCTTAAATACATTTCCCCTCCTCAAAAAGTCTACCAGTAGATAAAACTGGATTCTGGTAAAAGAAAGCCAATTTAAAGCCTTTTAAATAACCTAATTTAAAAATTCTATGTTTAAAGTTTCTTTTTTGAAATAAAGCATCAAACTTTTTAATAATGCAGTTAAAATGCTAAAGAATCTGAATGTGGAAATAACTTAGGTCAGCAATCCTTTACACATAATTTTGGAGCAAAATGTGATTCAGAATTCAGTATTTTTTAATTTTATTTTAGAAAGATTCACATAATAAATGTTATGTAATGTTCCTATTGAAATCTGTATCAGCACTCAAAAGTATTATTATTGTATTAGCTATAAAGTATGTGAATATTCTCTCCAAATGGAATAAATGAAGTCATAAATAGCCTATTGAGGTCAGTTTTTGTTTCCAGATGAGGTATTTGAAAAAACTTTTGGTTTATGATGCTTTTAGAGTTAATACCACTCTGTTAATACTCTTGGTATATAAATTACTTAAAGATGATAAAAATATAATTGCTTTTATATCTATCAGCTGCTAAGTTTAAAAGCCAAACCGTTGTACCTCCTCAGGTATACAGTATTCAGAATTAGAAATAGCAAGAAATAGCATAGTGAAGTGGTTAACAGTACAGGCCCTGGTTCTTGACTGTTAAGGTTCATTCCTAGATATGTATACTGGAAAAGATATCTAACTTGTTTATGCCTTAGTTTCCTCAGCTATAGAAAAGAGGATACTAATGGGACCTTGAAGATTAGACCTCATGATAATGTTGAGTAAATTTTAGATATCCTATTATTATTTGAGGTTTTTCTAAAGTTGCTTTTGGTTGCATAGTAGATTTTTCTTCTATTTGCTTATATTTGTGTGAACAAGTAGTTTAAATTGATATGTTATCAATAAATAAAATTTTAAAATAAATTCTTACAGAAATAGTTTGTATTCTTACCTAAAGGTACAAGAAACCAGAGGAACGGACTCCATTGGTAGCAGCAATGCAGCATTTCCTGCCAGTATTAAAGGACCGTTTTATTCAACTTCTTTCTGATCAGTCTGATCAGTCTGTTCTCATTCAGAAACAAATTTTCAAGATCTTCTATGCTCTTGTTCAGGTAATCTTTATAAAGCAGTTTTTTTTTTTAAGTATAAAAAAGTCAATGTATCTAGATTAAGGGAATGATTTGCTAGTCAAATATAAGTTGCCAAAATTATAAATATGTTAAAAGTCTAACCAAGCATACTTACCCAAATATACAAACAAAGCTAATAAATCTTAAATTATGTGATCAGTCTTAAGTTCTCTTAAAGCATCCAACACTATTTACAAAATTAGTAAATTTTTCTTGTACCTTTTATAAGTCTGAAATTTAGTTACTTGATTATAGTTTATATCTAAGAAGTACTCTGATATTTCAAATATACATAGATTGTCCCAATAACTACAAAACCTATTCCTAAACTTATATTACACAAAAATACTAACACTGTGGGCTTGACTGGCACATGAGCCTCATTATTTTTGTATTTTATCCTAATAAATCTTTTTGGGGCAATGTTATAGGCTAAGGAAATAGTTGTATCTGTATTCTTAGTGGCATGTAATTAGTTAAGAAATAGAATTATTTTAATTTGGATTAAAACATAAAAAGATTCATTTCATCTACCAGGACTTTTGGTTCAATTCATCCCTTTCTTTTTAAATTGCATTTAAATATACCTTCACTGAAACTGTAACTGACTCATTCTATTGTTTGGTTGGGTTTTGCATGTCTTTGCTAGATCTTTAAAGACAATCTCCAAGTCCTTTACCTTTACTTTAATACCACCATTCCGTTTGGCTCCTTCTTATGCAATTTTTAAAAAGTGATTTGAATAGGGAATGTTAGTACTGTTTCTATTCCCCCTCACCCCATTGGTAGTAACTATTTTTTAGATTAAAAATGAGTTCTTTTTGTTAATTATTTTAGGGCATGGACAAAATGTTTATCATTGCAATGAATTTTTTTGAGATCAGCATACCCTGATATAAAAGTTGGGCCTCTTCTTACTTGTTAAAATGTCCTAAAATCCTAAATAGGATATTGATTTTATAAGCCTATTAAGAGATAAGATTTATTGCAGGAATACAACAATGTATCAACAGTAAGAAATCAGTTTAAATGTTCACTAGAAATCCACAATAAATACCATACCTTATGGTGAAAATGAAATATATTCCCAGTAATTTGGCAATAAGACAAGGATGCCACTGTCATTGCCACAATTCCCCAGTGTAGGCAACTGATAAGATTTGCCTATGTACGAAAAACAAGAAATGTATATTGAAGAAAATACTTTTTGTAGGTTTTGTGAATAATAAAAGGAAGTGAAATTCTCTTTTGTAAGGATTTTTAATATAATTAATTCCGATTTTATTTTAGTATACACTACCACTGGAGCTGATAAACCAACAGAACCTGACAGAATGGATAGAAATTTTAAAGACGGTTGTGAACAGAGATGTACCTAATGTAAGTCTCTTTTATGTTCTCTTATATTACTAAACATAAATATTTAGGTATTTTTTGAGAATTTTAACTGCCATTTCCTGTAACATTCTTTATAAACTTATATAATTGACTATGCATATTTTTCGAGATAGACAAAACTTAATTGTTTACATATCTGCATATACAAAGCATGTAAATAGTTATTATATATATACTGTTTAAATGCTTATATATCTTAATTTCATCCTAATTCTTCTGTTTCTTTTCGGTTTTTAATTAAGAGTTTATAACATATATCACCTCACAGAGTTACACATTTTTTTCTAATGTGAACTTTTAATATCTCTCTTTATCAACCTTCACATATATAATACAACATTGTTAACTACAATCATCATGCTATACATTACATTTCCAGAACTTATAACTGGAAATTTGTGCCTTTTGACACCTTAATAATTACTGTGGTGATTATTTCACAATATATATATCCAGGGTATTCCAAAAAAAATGTTATGTACATTGAATGATTATAAAATCAGTATTATTAACATACAGGTCATTTTCAAACTTTAAAAGAATCTACAGAAATGAATAATTTTTTGGTTCATGTCTCTTTTCAAACTGATAACCGTTCATTGGTCCAGGCACTGGTAATACTGTGAAGCAGTGGAATCTCAGACTTTAAGAATCCTTTAGTTTGGCATGTGTGCACCCTTAATTATTTAATTGTTGCCAGTTTTATACCATAAACTTTATCTTTTATATATCCCCTTAAAAGTCTAGTGGGCTTTAGGATAAAATTTCTTTGTTCAAAGCTTAGTTTGGCTTCACCCATTATTTCAAATCGGTTAAACCTGAAAAGGAATGAAGGTTGAGTTATCAGCTGTTAGAGGGTGTATATTTTTTGGGGACAACCTATATCAAATCATTATGTTGTATACCTTAAACTAATACAATGTTACATATAAATTAGGAATTTTTTAAAAGTCCATAGCTAAATTTTTAGCCTAATAATTTGAAGATATCTGTGAACAGGGAAGAACTTATAAGCTGAAAGGGATCGTTTTATATGTACCTTCTTTGGCTTAATTTATCAGATGTGTTATGTTGTGTTGTGGTAGTTTGTTCCTTTTTATTGCCAAGTAGTATTCCATTATATGGATGTACTACCATTTATATGCAAGTTGGATATACTAGTTGATGGACATCTTAGTAGTTTCCAAATTTTAGTATTAAATTAGTATTCATAGCAGTTAAAGCTGCTATGTATGTTCTTACACAAGTATTTGCAATCGTGTGTCTTTATGTATTTATACTAATATTTTTGAAACTAGAAGTCTGAAATGGGATTTTCTCTTGCCTTTTGATTTGAACTATGCAGGTTTTGATTAAGCTACTTGCCATGACCTTATCTTTAATTTGGGTCTTGACTAAAATGGGTGTAAGCTTAAAAAAAAAAACAACCCCCCTCCCCCAGTTTATGGGAGAAAGTTATGGAGGTAGTAGAAGTGAGCCATCTGGGCTGGGTAGGCTCAGAAAACAAGTCACAGAAACAGAAGAAGATTTCTTGGGGCTTAAGAGAGGGAAAGGCAGAGGTGATGCCTCGGTGGGGAGGGGCAGGAGGAGGAGAAAGGAGTGGGCATGATCTCAAGAGGGAGGGCAACTAACAGAATTTTTAAAAGCATATCCATAAATATGTAGTTGAATTGGAAGTGCCTCTTATATTTAAATAAGGGTTAGTACTTTTTCAAATCTACCTTTTTAATATGAAAGGCCAGCATTAGAGGAGCATTCATGTTTTTGAGAATCTGTTCTCACCTCATATTCTCTTAAATTCTAATTATATCTTACTATATCATTAAATAAATGTTTCTTTAAATAAGGAAACACTTCAAGTTGAAGAAGATGATAGACCTGAGTTACCATGGTGGAAATGTAAAAAGTGGGCTTTACATATTTTAGCAAGGCTTTTTGAAAGGTAAGCTCCCAGATACATGTTGATTTATTTTTTTAGTCTTTTGGTTTTATAAGTGTTGACATAAAGCATTATAAAGAAACAACATTTTAATGTTCTTTTAGATATGGAAGCCCTGGCAATGTTTCCAAGGAGTATAATGAATTTGCTGAAGTATTTCTGAAAGCTTTTGCTGTTGGTGTCCAGCAAGTAAGTCTAAGATAAATTTTCTAAGTAAAAACATGTCATTATTAGATTAATTTCAGGCCTGCTTATTTTATTAGAAAACAAAATAAAATTATAAAGCCCTGGCCAATGTGGCTCAGTTGATTGGAGCATTGTCCCTTGCACCGAAGGGTTGAAGATTCAATTCTGGTCAGGGCATGTATGGAAGGGAGCTGATCAGTGTCTCACGTTGATGTTTCTCCCCCTCTCCCTTCCTATCTAAAATCAATTAAACAAAAACAAAAAACATGTCCTCGGGTAAGGTTTTAAAAAGAGTAAAAAAGCCCTAGTTGGTTTGGCTCAGTGGATAGAGCGTCAGCATGTGGACTGAAGGGTCCTGGATTTGATTCTGGTCAAGTGCACACGCCCAGGTTTCAGCTCCATCCCCAATGTGAGACATGCAGGATGTTTCTCAACATTGATATTTCTATCTCTCTCTCCCTCACCCTTCCTCTCTGAAATCAATGAAAAAAATAATATTTTTTAAAGAGTAAAAATAATAAAATAATAAACCTATTATTTTTGTTGTTGTTTTGTTAATCTTCACTCTATGTTTCCCATTGATTTTTAGAGAGTAGAAAGGAAGGAGGGAGAGAGAGAAAAAAAATTTGATGTGAGAGAGACCCATTGATGTTGTCTTGCATGAGTCCCAACCAGGGCTAGGAATCAAACGAGGTACATGTCCTGGACAAGAATAGAATCTGGGACCCTTTAGTTTTGGGCCAATGCTCTCTGCACTGAGCAAAATGGCTAGAACCCAAAGATGTACTTTCTTTTTTTCTATATTTTTATTGATTTGAGAGAGAGAGAGAGAGAAAGAGAGAGAGAGAGAGAGACACACACACACATCAATGATAAAAGAGAAACATTGATTAGCTGCCTCCCACATCCCCCACACTGGGGATCGAGTCTGCAACCTAGACATATGCCCTGACCAGGAATTGAACCATGACCTCCTGGTTTATTGGTCAGTGTTCAACCACTGAGCCACGGTGGCAGGGCTGTTTTGCGCGCCCCCCCCCCCTTTTTTTTTAGGAAAAAATAATGCTTATATACTCAGGTCTAAATAACTATATTAGTTTTTTTTCAAGAATATGATAGTATTTGATGAAAGAAGCCACTATTTCAGCTTTTCTTCTAACAATTGTTCTTCAGTACATAGCAGAAGTGCTGTACGTATACTTCCCACTTAGTGATATTATTTCTTGTTCATTAAGAACTTTTTTTTAAAAGGACATTCTTAAGGAAAGCTTGTTCTGTAATTATATGACTGTAAAGAATATGATGCCTGCTCATACACTTCAGTGCCACTTCCTTTATTCATGTTAGATAAAGTTTTGCTGCCAATACTTGTGTGTCATCCATGCCTTTTTTTTTTTTTAACAGTAAAAAGGGCACATAATGATTTAGGTTTTAAAAAAAATCCTCACTCAAGAATATATTTTCCATTGATTTTCAAATGGAGTGGAAGAGAGTGAGGAGTGGTGGGGGAAGAGAGAAACATTGACTTGAGAGTGACACAAAAATTAGTTGCCTCACCCGGGCCCCAAAGTGGGAGGGGGTTGAATCTGAGACCCTTGGTCTACAGGCTGATTCTCCAATCACTGAGCCAAATCAGTCAGGGCTTGCATTTTTCCTTCCCCTTTGAGATATTTGTGACCCATATTTTGATAATCCCTGTTCTGAAATTTTGTTTTTTGTTAAAAAATTTTTCCCAAAGGTTTTATTGAAGGTATTATATCAATACAAGGAGAAGCAATATATGGCTCCTCGAGTTTTGCAACAGACATTAAATTATATAAATCAAGGAGTTTCTCATGCTCTCACCTGGAAGAACCTGAAGCCTCATATACAAGTAATGATTTTCTGTCTGAAATATTTTCTAGAAAGTATAATGGAAATAACATTAATTATCATAAAGGTTTAACATGCATTTTTTGTTGACTTGTGTTGTTTATTGTAATTCTGGTCATTGTTTTGAGAATAGATTAGGAAAACAAATTAACCTTGTATAAACTTATTCTAGTAAAAGGAATATTATGTTTTCAACTAAAACTTCTTACTGTTGCATTATAATTAATATTTTATATATATAATTTGTAACAAGCAAAGAACTATTTTGTCAGGTTAGTTGTGAGAATAATTGGCTTATTTTTATGAGTAATTTTTTTTGCTTTATTTAAAACTGTAGGACTTCATGACTAAAATTTCATGTTGTATTGTCTCAGAATACTTAATTGCTATCTATTCATGTTTTATTTCATAATTATTTGTTGCATAGAAGGAAGAATATGTACACTGATAGTTGACCTGAGAATGTAAAGTTTGATATTAAACTTTTAAAAATATATTATTGATTATAGTTACTTTTGTTTTACCACTTAACAGAAATTTGAAGGTTTAAATTTAATACTGACTCAAGGTTGTTACTTTCTTAACTTTTAAATTGCAGGGCATTATACAAGATGTTATTTTTCCATTGATGTGCTATACAGATGCTGATGAAGAACTTTGGCAAGAAGACCCTTATGAATATATACGCATGAAGTTTGGTAAGGAATTTTTACTTTAAGAAATAAAATGTCAGTTAGGGATGTATATAGTGAACCTATGTGGTATCAAGGCTTCTTACCTTTCACACTAAAATGTCTTTGGTGTTTCAATGTATTTTATTCATTCGTTAGACCAGAGATTTTCCACTTTTTTCATCTCATGGCACACACAACTAATTACTAAAATACTGCGGCCCTCCAAAATATATATTTTTTTGCCGATCCGCCCAAAAAACAGGTATAATTTTGATTCATTCATTCATTCATTCATTCAACACTAGATGCATGTTGTTGTATTGGCTACTATCATTTTTGTATTTGACAATACAAGGGGAAAGAGTTTGGGTATTTAATGTTTTAAAAATTAATGTAGCACCGAGGTTACAAATCACTGCTTTAGACCTTTGAGAGCGGGGCTATTCAGTGATCAATTATGGCATTTGATCATTTTTAGCAGATAAATACAGTAGTGTTATTAAGTTATTAGATATGCTTCTGGCACATTCCAAAACTTAGAAATTCAAGACTATACCTTAACACTGAGTGATCCGTGAGGTCTGAAAAGTTTGCAACTATTGGTCTAAACTATACTTTTGGATCCCATGTCAGTCAACTATATATGTGCAAATGGAGAAGATGCATACTGGAAGCTAGAGTCACAGGGAGTCTCCATGGAACTAAAGATTGTAATTTGACTAATTTGAGTATTAGTCCTTCTTCCTAGCAAACTCTTATTTTTTGTATTACTGTGTTTTCTTATTGGCTTAAAATAACACATTAATTATCTGTTTCTGGGAAACAGGAATCTGGGTGTGGCTTAGCAGAATTTTCTGCTTCAAGATCTCTTATGAAGTTTCGATCAAAGAATCTTACGTACTTTTAGTCGTTTGTATTTTTGTGACCCTATTGTGAATTCTCATAGTAGTAGTGTTTTGTATGAAGGAAAATAATCATTAGGATAAATTGATGGATTATTAATATTTATCTTGTACAGAAAAAACATGGAATTAGATTTTGACACAATTATATGGGTAACTAGTGGCCTGGTGCACAAAATTTGTGCACAGAGGGGGGGACATCCTCTCGCAATCTGGGGCTGCTGGCTCCTAGCCTGCCTGCCTGCCTGATTGCCCCTAACTGCCTCTACCTCTACCCAACTGCCCTCCCTTGTATACCTGATCTCACCTCCAACTACCCTTCCTGCCAGCCTGATCGCCTCTAACTGCCTCTGCCTGCCTGATTATCCCTAACTACACTCCTCTACAGGCCTGATCTCTCCTCCAACTGCCCTCCTCTGCCAGCCAATTTGGTTCTGACTGGTTGGTTTCTATGCCAGTCGGCATCTCTGGGCCTATCAACGGGGCATGGTTAGAAAGGCGGGGCTGATCAGGAGGCCTGGAGAGAAATGGCGGGGTGGCTGCTGACCCTGCCCAGAGAGAAAGAGCTAGGCAAGTGCTGATCAACAGCTGCCACACAGGCTTTGGATCAAACCCTGCTTCTCTCTTTAGGTCTCTCTCCAGGCCTGATTCGCAGCCCCCTCAGCAGTCAGTGCTGGGTCGCCACGGCAGCCCAGTGGTGACAGCAGGACTGACTTCTGGTTGATCAAGTCTCCGGTCATGATGAACCCAGGGTTTTTATATATTAGAATTGGGTTCATATTCAAATCCACCTTGTGTCAAAATATAACAAAATTTTAAGGTTTGCCCTCCCCCTCTTTTCTTTTACCAACATTACTTACAAATTATGTGGCAGTGTTTGTTGAAGAAATTGAAATTACTGTTTTCTGTATTTAAATTTATTCTCTAGATGTGTTTGAAGATTTCATTTCTCCTACCACTGCTGCCCAGACACTATTGTTTACTGCCTGTAGTAAGAGGAAAGAGGTAGGTTATTTAATGTGTAGAATACTTTCGCTTTTATGTATTTCAATATTTAAAAATTGTTCAGATACACTACTTTTTTTCTTTTCATGTGGTTTTTTTTTGTTTTTGTTTTTTTTAATACGTTTAGTTGGTTTTTAGAGAGGAAAGGGGAGAGAAAAACATCAATGATGAGATTCATTGATTGGCTGCCTCCTGCACCCTCTACACTGGGATCCAACTGGCAACCCAGGCATGTGCTCTGGCTAGGAATTGAACTGTGTGACATTCTGGTTCATAGATTGATGCTCAACCACTGAGCCATGCTTCCTGGGCCAGATACCCTGCTTTTAATGTTAGCCGTATGTGAATCATTTTTATCATTAATGTTTTTTAAAGATTTCCTCTTTTTAATTTAGGTACTGCAAAAGACTATGGGATTTTGCTATCAGATTCTTACAGAACCAAATGCTGATCCTCGAAAAAAAGATGGAGCCCTGCATATGATTGGCTCTTTAGCTGAAATACTTCTAAAGGTATTTTATTTTTTTGTGGGTGTGCACACAGTTTGATAACAGTTTTATTGAGATATAATTCACACACCATGAAATTGACCCATTTAACGTTTACAGTTCAGTGGTTTTTCTTATATTCACAGAATTCCAAAAAGGAATCTGATTTATTAGCATTTACTCTCCATTTTCTATGAGACCTCCCAACCCTAAGATATGCCTAACCTATTTTATGTCTTGGTAACTGTTAATTTGTGGGTATCTTTGTCTATCTTTCAGCTTTACTAAACCTGTCCAGTCATCCTTTTCTTAGTTCATAAAGTAATTATTTATGTAAAAGGCTGAATTCTCTTGGATCAGATTTTTTAACTATTATTAAATTATAAGCCTGGTGCATGAGATTTGTGCATGGGCAAGATCCCTAAGCCTGGCCAGTGATCAGGACCGATCTGTGGGGCGAGCATTTGGATGATCAGGGGACCCACATTGACAACTGCCTTGGCTGGCCTAGGGCCTGTGGGCTAGGGACAGCTCCTGCATTGGCATCTGCCCCCTGGTGGTCAGTGCACTTCATAGCGACTGGTCATAATGCTGTTCAATTAATTTGCATATTAGTCTTTTATTATATAGGATAATTTTAGATTATAGAAAAATTGTAAAAATAGTTCTCAAAACTCTTCACCCAGCTTCCACTAATATTAGTTGGGTTTTTTGTGTGTGTGTGTGTTTTTTGTTTTGTTTTGTTTGTTTTTTAATAGAGAAAGGGGTAGGGATAGAGACTTAGAAACATCAATGAGAGAGAAACATTGACCAACTGCCTCCTGCACACCTCTTACTGGGGATGTGCCTGCAACCAAGGTACATGACTTGACCAGAATCGGACCTAGGCCAATAGGTCCTTCAATCCGCAGGCCAATACTCTATCCACCAAGCTATACTAGTTAGAGTATTAATATTAATATCATAGATAGCTATGCCATAATTCTCAAAACCAGAAAATTAATATTGATATTTTAAACTAATCTATAGTCCTGGCCAGTTTGGCTGAGTGGATAGAGCATCAGCCTGCAGACTGAAGGGTCCCAGGTCGATTCTGGTCAAGGGCATGTACCTTGGTTATGGGCACATCCCCAGAGGGGGTGTGTGCAGAAGGCAGCTGATCAATGATTCTCTCATTGATGTTTCTAGCTCTCTATCCCTCTCCCTTCTTCTCTGTAAAAAATCAATAAAAATGTATTTTAAAGAAAACAAACTAATCTATAGACCCATTTCACATTTTATAAGATTTCTCACTAATGCCCTTTTTGATCCATTAATCATTCCAGGATCCCATATTGCATTATGTTCTCATGTCTCATTAGTCTTCTTAGGTTTATTAGTATTTATAAGTTTTTAATATTAATATGCACTTTTCTTTATAACATCTTACTTTTTAGAAAACACAAATATTTTTTTAGATACTCAGATTATCACCTTGAAAGTAGGATGTTTCTCAGTCTATGTTATGTTCATTTAAAACCTTTACAGGGATTTTAAAAAATTCTATTAGTTTTATAAGAAAAACAGTTTTATAAGGTAAGGAATAAAATTAACCACACATCATCACTCAACCACCATTGCTGCTATGACTTAGTGCTATTGCTTTCTTAACAAATAATACAAAAAGGTTTTAAAAAAGTATTCTGTGTGTTTTTTCTGTAGTGTGAAAATAAGAAAATTGGATGTGTATCTTGGGGTTCCAAGAACCAGAGTAAATATATGTTTAGCATCAATAGTCATTTTTAACACCATGTGTATCAGGCATTTGATATTATTATATTTGGAATTCTTTCAAAAATAATTTTTGTTTATATTTACAGAAAAAAATATATAAAGATCAGATGGAATACATGTTGCAGAATCATGTATTCCCTCTCTTCAGCAGTGAACTAGGCTACATGAGAGCGAGAGTAAGTTTTAATGCTGTATTTATTTATTTAGTTATATCTTATAATGCTTATAATGAATGACTGCTTGTGTGGACTTTAAAATGAAAACTTTATAATTTCATTTTTAAAGCCATATTTTATTTTTGGCTTTTTTATTTTTTCTTTCTGCTTTTACTTTTATTTTATGCTGAATTTTCTCTTGGGCCAAGAGTTTTTGTTTGTTTCGTTTCTTCTGGGATATTTTTTTCTTCTGTCCAGTGAGGATCACTGTATGTGGCAGGGAGAGCTCACATATGGGTCAATCCACCCATGAGCTCTGTAAGTTGTACTCTGCATCTTAGAGCTTTGTTCACCTGGATGTGCTCAATGACAAGAGAATCTGCATCTAAACCCTTAAAGTTCAGCATTGTCTCTGCATTTGTAAGCATGTGCAGCAGAAATTCAGCCCTCTTTTTGGGCCACCGACGCTGTGTCTAATCCCACTGTTTTGCCTGGGTACACCTACCAATTCCACCATTGTAATGAGGGAATGGTACACACTGCTTCTTGGTATCTTTAAGATACTTGGTGGCTTTCGAATATATATATACCTTTGATGGCCTGGCGGTTTCATGAATGTTCTTAAAGTGAACACAAAGATTTGAGCTTTTTGATTTGCATGATATTGTGGGGTTTTATAATTCAAGTGAACAGCGAACCATTTTCAGAGGTCACCTCTGGCCACTTTGGGGGAAGAGCTTATGTAAATGGCTGATGTAATGTGTGCATAGTTTTCATCTGTGTCTGATAGCAGTGTCTGTCTGTGTTTTGCATTCAGATCTTGCTATCCACACAAACATCATGCAGCCAAAGATTAAGTTGGGATCATAGTACTGGTCTAGTGTTGTCTCATTGGACATAATTTACCACTGGCCAGCCTCCAAATTCCCATACAGAACTTTGTGAATAGAGATAGTGTATAGCTTTTGGAAATTTAATATATCTATAATAACTCACCGCATTTTATTTTTAAAGGCTTGCTGGGTCCTTCACTATTTTTGTGAAGTTAAGTTCAAAAGTGACCAGAACCTGCAAACAGCCTTAGAGCTGACACGAAGATGTCTAATTGATGATAGGGAAATGCCTGTGAAAGTGGAAGCTGCCATTGCACTTCAGGTGTTAATCAGCAATCAAGAAAAAGGTAAAGGGTTTATATCTCAAATAGTGTAGCATTCCCCCCCGCCATAACTATACAAGGCATAATCCTACATGCTTGACACATAATCTTCCTTTTTATATGAAAGTATATCTTTTTTACCTTGATGCATGTTATATCAGGTTTAAGGAATTTTAGCCTAATTTTTTTTTTCAACTCTTACAGCAAAGGAATACATCACACCATTCATCAGACCTGTAATGCAAGCTCTTCTTCATATTATAAGAGAAACAGAAAACGATGATCTTACCAATGTAATTCAGAAAATGATCTGCGAGTATAGTGAAGAAGTTACTCCTATTGCAGTAGAAATGACACAGCATTTGGTATGTTATTTGAACCAAGCATTCATGCATTACTTATCTTCTAGAAAGCATTTTCACAGAGCTTATTGTATGCCAGATAACACTGTAAGCCCTTGATAAATATATGGATATATATCTTTAACTTGTTTAATTCTTATACAATCCTGTGTGAGGTATAAAAAGGTTAAGTAGTTTGCCCATAGTTAGAATGGGTGAGGCTAAAATTCACATTTGAGCTGTATGTCTTTACAGTGCACATCTCTCTCTCTCTTTTTTTTTTAATTATTTTTATTTTTTTCAGAGAGGGAGAGAGATGAGAAACATCAACGATGAGAATCATTGATTGGCTGCTTCCTGAACACTCCCTACTGGGGATCTATCCCACAACCCAGGCATGTGTCTTGGGCCGAAATTGAACCTGGGACCTTTCAGTCCACAGGCCAATGCTCTATCCACTGAGCCAAACCGGTTTCAGTAAACTATTTTTTTTTAAAGTATATTTTATTGATTTTTTACAGAGAGGAAGGGAGAGAGATAGAGAGCTAGAAACGTCGATGAGAGAAACATCGACCAGCTGCCTCTTGCACACCCCCTACTGGGGATGTGCCCGCAACCAACGTACATGCCCCTGACCAGAATTGAACCTGGGACCTTTCAGTCTGCAGACCGACGCTCTACCACTGAGCCAAACCGGCTTCGGCAGTAAACTGTATTCTTAACAGCTGATTTTGCAATGGATGAGGACATTTGAATAAAGTATCATCTATTATGTATATTTATTGCATTTATAATATATTGGTCTGATTATTAGTTATGACTCAGAAGTTTGTTTCAAATAATTGAACATTGCAATAACAAAATCTTGATGATTAATAAACCTGATATCTGTATTTGGGCATTATCACCTATTAGCCAGTAATATTAATAAAAATATTCATAATGGGGGGGGGCAATGGGGAGATAAGGACATATATGTACTACCTTAAAAAAATATTCATAATATTAAACAGTTTCTGTCCCTTGCCTGATTTGATTTTCAGAGTTTATCTGTGAAGTTCCCAAATGAGATGTTAGGAAACAGAGGTCAAATAAGTTGTTTAAGGTCACAGAGAAGTACCATTTGATTATAGGGTCCAACCTCTTAATTATTACTGATCAATTTGGAAACATTGATTGCTTGTGTTGTCCAAGTGAGAACATTTTAGAATTGAAAGTTTCAAACCAAAAAAATGTTTATGCTGTTTTAACCACTAACCTAAATTATATTTCTTTTAATCTAGGCAATGACATTTAATCAAGTAATTCAGACTGGGCCTGATGAAGAAGGAAGTGATGACAAAGCAGTTACTGCTATGGGGATCTTGAATACTATTGACACACTTCTTAGTGTAGTTGAAGATCATAAAGAGGTAAGGAATTGATCTAGTATTGTAAAAGTTTTAGGTTAGTTGAAGCCATTCCTTATCAACTATTCTATGTTTTTTGGATAGCCCTTACATATAATTTTGGTCATTTTCTCATGCACCTTTTTTTTTTTTTAATATATATTTTATTGATTTTTCACAGAGAGGGAGAGAGAGAGAGATAGACAGTTAGAAACATCGATGAGAAAGAAACATCGACAGCTGCCTCCCACACACCCCACACCAGGGACGTGCCTGCAACCAAGGTACGTGCCCTTGACCGGAACCAAACCTGGGACCTTTCAGTCTGCAGACCGATGCCCTATCCGCTGAGCCAAAGCAGTTTTGGCTCATGCACCTTGTATTATGTACATTCACATTGTTGTGCAACCGTCATCATCATCTTTCTAGTTTTCTTTTATTGTTACCTTTTAGAAAGGTGTGAACTGTGAATGAATTTTTAAAATGGAATTATTTGAAATTACTAATAAAAGAGGATACAGCCGAAGCCGGTTTGGCTCAGTGGTAGAGCGTCGGTCTGCGGACTGAAAGGTCCCGGGTTCGATTCCGGTCAAGGGCATGTACGTTGGTTGCGGGCACATCCCCGGTGGGGGGTGTGCAAGAGGCAGCTGGTCGATGTTTCTCTCTCATCGACGTTTCTAGCTCTCTATCTCTCTCCCTTCCTCCTCTCTGTAAAATATCAATAAAATATATAAAAAAAAAAAAAAAAAAAAAAAAAAAAAAAAGAGGATACAAATTGACCATACCTTTGCAATGCCAATCAGGAGTGGTTATGCAAATTAACCCAACAGTGATAGTGGGTTAATTTGCATACAGAGGCTCCAAGTAGTAGGAGTGGGGCAGGACACAGGCATTTCACACCACCCCAGATGCTCAGGGCAGGGCCTCTGGGCAGCGTGGGAAGGCGTGGCCTGAGCAGAAAGAGGCAGCTTCAGGGCTGGAGCAGAAAGGTGGTGACAGCAGCCAGGGAAAGGAAGGCCCATTCTGCACAAATCTTCGTGCATTGGGCTTCTAGTATACACAGTAAAGAGAAATATACAGAAAAACTATACACAATATCCTTTAATCACCACCTAAATGTATTAGATTTTAACATTTTACAGTATATCCTTTAGACTTTATTTCCAGTGGCAACTCAAGAATTTTAATTACTTTATATAATTAAAATTCTTGGGTTGCCACTTCCTAATCCCATTTCTCTTTTTCCTTCCCTTAAAAGTAATAACTATCCTGAACTTGCTATTTTAATTCTAATGTAGATATTTATATCCACAAATTATGTTTTCAGATTATCTACAAATTGCCTATTGCAACCTCAGATTTTAGTGAATTTTTTATTTTTAAAAATAGTAGATGGGGCCCTAACCGGTTTGGCTTAGTGGATAGAGCATCAGCCTGAGGACTGAAGGATCCCAGGTTCGATTCTGGTCAAGGGTATGTACTTTGGTTGTGGGCACATCCCCAGTGAGGGGTGTGCAGGAGGCAGCTGATCAATGTTTCTCTCTCATGGATGTTTCTAACTCTATTCCTCTCCCTTTTTCTCTGTAAAAAAAAAAAAAAAGTAAAATATATATTTTTTATAAAAACAAGAAAGATAATAGAAGATAGGCAGAACCATGTAGTTAAGATAATTTATGTTTAGCAAGTCAATTATTTACTATATTTAAAGAAAATGTATTAAGCATAATATGTGTTTGAGATGGATGTTCTTTTTCTATATTAGAATAGTAAATTTTTTTTAATACATTTTATTGATTTTTTTACAGAGAGGAAGAGAGAGGGATAGAGAGTTAGAAACATCGATGAGAGAGAACCATTGATCAGCTGCCTCTTGCACACTCCCTACTGGGCAAGTACGGTACATGCCCTTGACCTGACCGGAATCGAACCTGGGACTTTTTAGTCCGCAGGCTGACGCTCTATCCACTGAGCCATACTGGTTTTAGCTGAATAGTAAATTTTTATCTTATTTCTCCTTGCACCTTTATAAACATTCTATGTATGTCAGGTATTTGGGATCCAATTGAAAATCACACTAACAATTAAAAAGAATTTATATTTTTTGCCTTAAATGATTGGGGGCCTGGTTCTCTATGTCTACTATAATTTTATAAATGGAGGTGATTTAAGAATTATTGCAAGTAGTTAGAATAATGTCTTCTTTCAAATAATTGTTCTTTATGTCACTGACTGACTTTTCAGTTATATCTGGGTTGAATTAAAACTTACACACAAAAAGGATTTAAAGTCTGTCTACAGAACATTTGTGGCTCCTTTGATTTTTGGGTAAACTACATGTTATTCTTTGTGTTTGTCTCATTGTTGTGGTTCACAACATTTGTAATATTATGAGTGAATCATTTCAGTGCAGAGACCTAAAATTATTACTTAACAATACTGATTTTATATTTTAATACACTGAATTACATTATACATTGATCAGTAAATTCATTCAGTGTGCTGTGGTTCCTCCATGTAATTTTTTTTCCTCCTTTTCTTTTAGATAACTCAGCAGCTTGAGGGAATCTGCTTACAGGTCATTGGAACTGTTTTACAACAGCATGTCTTAGGTATATACCTCTAGTTGTGGTAAGAATTTATTGCTATTTTACATCAGCAAGCATTATACTAATGTCTCCATGTTCTCTTTTAGAATTCTATGAGGAGATCTTCTCTTTAGCACATAGTTTGACATGTCAACAAGTGTCTCCACAGATGTGGCAGCTTCTACCTCTGGTATTTGAGGTTTTTCAACAAGATGGCTTTGATTACTTTACAGGTAAGTTAAAACAGCATAAAAATAATTAAGATTTTTTTCCATTTCAATGTTTATCGGTAAACATGCACTTTTGAATATTCTAAGTGCCCAATTCGTTTGAATAAATTATCAGTACAGTTAGTGCTCAAGGATCCATAGCAATGATTTCATTATATATTTTGATTTAGTTAGTGCGTTGGTGGTGTGTTTTGTTGTATTTTGTTTCTGTATATGTTCTTAACGCACATTCTCACCCTTTGGCTCCCTGTCCATATTCTTTATATAATCTTTGTTTTTTAACTACTAACTGTAAAGGAATTCACTTTAATAATGGTTCATTCCTACATCTAATTATAAATAAATCTTAATTAAAAGCAAATGTTACAGAAAAAATAACCTCAGATTTGTTTTCTTTTTCTAAGGAGATTTTTTCCAAACCAAAGTATTTATATTAGTACAGGTAATTAACTGGTGCTTTTTAATGCAGATATGATGCCTCTGCTTCATAATTATGTGACAGTTGATACAGACACACTTCTATCTGATACCAAGTATCTTGAAATGATATACAGTATGTGCAAAAAGGTAGGTCATTTTTAATTAATAGAAGAACGTATGTCCTGAAGCTGTGCTATAAAAAGTATAAAATTGTTAAGCTACATGATACCACATTATGGCAAACAGATTATACAGAATAAGACCTTTAAAAGTTTAAATAAGACCTTGATTCCTTAGATGCCATAATACTTAATGGCTTTGACAGTTGTTTGCCTTCTGTCTGTCCACTGACATTTAATTAAGAGTTGTAAATGTTTTAAGAGTTGTAAATGTTTTTGATTTTTCAGAATGCTTGGAGATTAACTTTAGTCCTTTTCTAGGATTTGAATCAAAAAAGGAAAGTATCTAAAACTTGAGATATTTTTTAAAGGATCAGGAATCATTACAGATATTTTATAAAGAAAATTTCTGAAGACAATGGGTTTATGGAAGCTACACACTAATTATTTAGTAAATGGCAAGATTGTAACGTGAGGATTTTCTATAAAGTCAAAAGTACTGTGTCATTTCTTGGAAAAAGTATAAGATATATACTGTGCTATATATTGGATATTTATTTATTTAACTTTGTAAATCTATGATGAATGTTTTTTAAAAAAATGCTTTTCTTCAGTTAGAGGGAATAAAATACTTGAATTGGGGCTCTTCAATATCAAAGTCACTATAATTGATAGCATTTAATTTTCTAAAAGTGCTTGTTAAGAGGCAGCAGGCTGTTTAACATCAGGCATTTAAATCATTTTGCTCCATGAAGTTTATAGACGTGCTTGTCCTCATTTCCTTTCTGACAATTTAGTCACCAAATAATCATCTACTTGTTATTTAATATTTATTGCCGGTACTATTATCATGTTAATATTCTGGGAATAGATATCTACACCACTGTCATTAACATTTTCAGCTCTTTAGTACTAACGAGCACACCTACTCCATGTTTTTTTATTTCTTGTCTGCCTATTGCTTCTTCCTGTCCCACACAGTATTTTTTATTTTTTGAATCTTGTTTAGAGAAAAGAATTTTCTTAACATCAGCTTAATTTTTTTGTAGTTCTTTATATAAGAGCCAGATATCCCTGAGAAAGGTAGAGTCCTGTGGTATGTTTCTATGAAAAGTAGTGGTTGTCAGTGTGCTACTGTTTAGAATAGCACTATGGGGAGGAGCTTCGATTATGTAGACCAAGATCCAGATTGCTAGAATATAACAAAAAAATTGCACATCCTCCAGGTGCTTTACATAACAGTCTGAATATTGCAATCATTCATATTTAGAGTATTTTAAATACTCCAGAGAAAGAAGACAGGACAGAAATTCTCAGATTGGAAAGTTTCATGACGCCTAACTTCAATTTGTATTGTGTTGATCAGGTTCTTACAGGGGTTGCAGGAGAAGATGCAGAGTGTCATGCAGCAAAATTATTAGAGGTCATCATTCTACAGTGCAAAGGGCGTGGCATTGACCAGGTCAGTAAGGCTCACTATTAATGATTCGGATGTGAGGCTTCAGAGGCGAAATCTTTCCCTCCACTTTTTCTTTTTAGCAATCTGTTACATATGTTGTTTATTATGACACCTAGATAAATTGGTTTAAAATTTAACAAATATACAATGATCATGTTTTTTTGGTGTGTGTGTGTGTGTGTGTGTGTGTGTGTGTGTGTGTGTTCAATATGACTGGCAAGTTTTATGGCTACTTGTTATCATGCAAGGTAAGTTTTGACTAGATTTTCTTATAGTACGTTGTGACAGTATTGCTTGCTATGTTATTACTTTTCAATAAAATAGATTTAGTCATTAAATTTCCACAAGTCATTAAGTTTCAATAAGAATTTTCACCAGCTTTATTGAGATATAATTGAAATATAACATTATATAAGTTGAAGATATACAATGTGATGAGTTGATACATGTATATATTGCAGAAATTATTGCCATGGTAAGGTTAGCCAGTTGGAGTATTGCGAATCCATGTTAGCTATTGCTGAGGCTCTATCTTGGTGATGACTTAACTCTCTCTAAAATTAGATTTGCCAGTGAAATGCCTCAACAAAAAACTATTGTATAATGTGGAAAGAGGGTGAAATGGGGGAACAACTAAGTTAATATGAGTAGGATAATTAGATTGCTGTTAATTTGTAATTTTGGAATATTTTCCTTTCTTAATAGTGCATTCCCTTATTCGTGGAAGCAGCGTTAGAGAGACTGACAAGAGAGGTGAAGACAAGTGAACTTCGAACAATGTGCCTGCAAGTTGCCATTGCAGCTTTGTATTATAATCCACACCTCCTTCTTAATACCTTAGAAAATCTTCGCTTCCCTAATAACGTTGAACCAGTTACAAATCATTTTATTACACAGTGGCTTAATGATGTTGATTGTTTCTTGGGGTGAGTGCTATATATTGGATATTTATTTATTTAACTTTGTAAGGAACTCTGCTTATTAAGAAAATACCCTTATTTTATTTTTTAGGCTACATGACAGAAAGATGTGTGTTCTGGGCCTGTGTGCTCTTATTGATATGGAACAGATACCACAAGTTTTAAATCAGGTTTCTGGACAGATTTTGCCAGCTTTTATCCTTTTATTTAATGGATTAAAAAGAGCATATGCTTGCCATGCAGAACATGAAAATGACAGTGATGATGATGATGAAGCTGATGATGATGATGAAACGGGTAAGGGATTTGAGACGGAGGAAGCCAAACTTACCTAGTTAGAAAAATCACTTGACTTAACTTATTAGTCCTTCTAAAGAAATGTGAAATCATAGCCAAATTTTTTCATTTCCATTATTCATAGAAAAACAGTCTTACTTACCTTCCCACTAAGGTAAGATCTAAGAAGGCAGGAACTCAGCTATATCTTCAGCATATAAAGGATTTCTGGGCACTTATGGTTCTCAGTAAATTAATAGAATGCTAGTTAAGAGAAATGATTATAATGATTCCAAAATAAGGTAACAATTGTCATTTTTATCTTTTATTATTTAGTAACTTGGCCATTAAAAAGTCTTGTAAGACGTTTTCTGTGGATTTAATATAAATTATATGACTATTAGTGTTTGGTTTGGTATATTGTCATATAGCTCAGAGTATACCATGTGCTGAATCTCATTATGCAGTCATTTTTCAAATCTCTAATATTATTATTATTTTTTAATAGTTTTCCACTGATTTTTAAAAAAATATATTTTATTGATTTTTTACAGAGAGAAAGAGGGATAGAAAGCTAGAAACATCAGTGAGAGAGAGACATCGATCAGCTGCCTCTTGCACACCCCCTACTGGGGATATGCCCGCAACCAAGGTACATGCCCTTGACTGGAATCGAACCCAGGACCCTTCAGTCCCCAAGCCGATGCTCTATCCATTGTGCCAAACCGGTCTCGGTAATCTCTAATATTATTAAGAGTTGTGGTTAGGTTTCTTGCATTCCTTTGAGGTTTTTTTTTTTTCCTACTTATTGCTGAACACATAACTAAACACCAATTCCTGGAACTCTTCCCTAAATTTATTCAATTACGATTTGCAGTTTATTGTTATCACTGTCAGTTCACTGAGTAACAAAATATTGCAATATTAACAAAAGGGCCTATTTTATGTCTTGGCAGAGGAACTGGGGAGTGATGAAGACGACATTGATGAAGATGGTCAAGAATACTTAGAGATTCTGGCTAAGCAAGCAGGTGAAGATGGAGATGATGACGAATGGGAAGAAAACGATGCGGAGGAGACTGCTTTGGAAGGTTATTCCACAATCATTGATGATGAAGATAACCCTGTTGATGAGTATCAAATATTTAAAGCTATATTTCAAAGTAAGTCGTGTCTTATGTAATTTATATACTTCTAATATTAATTTTCGTGAACCCATCTGTTCTTAGATCTGTCCCTTAAAGGGATTTGACTACAGGCAATCCTCAGGTTTGACGTTTGTGGTTATGTCACCATCTTCCATTTATTTATTTGAAAAAAGAAAAAAATTCCATCATTTCAACAAATGTGCTTTATATATTTTATTATTTATTTACCACAAGTAAAGGTCAGAGATTGTTACCTTTCTTTTAATTTTTTTTTACTGTTTCACTTCATTACTGCTATGTATGTGCTCCATGTGAATGAATGGCGTAGGTGGATTCTGTAGGTGTTAGTCATGCTGTAGGAACTGATCTCTGGCATAACCTGAGGATCTACTGTATATCAAACCCAATAGAATATGATTTAGGATTGTTAGGCAAAGTGACCAAAGTTATTTCTACTATTGTCATAGTTTGAGAGCATTTTCTTTATCTTATTATTTTTATTTAGATTATAATTTTGAAACAGGAATATTAAAGGAAAATAGTACATCAAAAAGTTTATCTGATGATACTTCCTCATTCCCACTTCTGATTTCTATCCTCCCAGCTTACCCCAGAAGTATTCACTCTTGTGTTTGTGTATCTTCCCAGCCAAATCCACACTTAGTCTGAGAATTGGACAGTTTATAAATAACTAGAGACCTGATGCACGAAATTCAAGCAAGGGACTTGACCCACCCCCCACCACAGTTGTTGCTGGGCCTCTGCTGTGGCCCCGCCCACCACAGCTTCATCCATAAGGAAGTGTGTCTGGTCTAATTAGCATATTATACTTTTATTATATTAGATGGCTTTGGAATCCCTTTTTTCCTGTGTCATAGTATGGATGGCTACCATTTATTTGGTGCCTTTTTTTTTAAATCCTTATTTATTATCATATACTTTGATTTCAACAAAATATCTGTGTCCCATCATTCAGCTTAGAAGTTAAAATTAGCATATTTGAAATACCCTTTTCTCCCAGAGTTAACTATTGTGCTATTTATTATTTCTATGCATTATGAACTTTGATGTAGAACTAGTTTCCTCATAACCAAGCATTAGTTCTCTAAGCACATGACAAAGTAATTTTGATACAAGGTTGTAGAAATTGATTGAGGTGCCAAGAACTACGTGCTTGCTTTTATCCGTGGTTTTATACTTTGTAGAATTAAACACATGTTAATCCCTGAAGTATTAAGTGATTATACCAGGGGACCTGTGCATAGTAAATGTTCTAAAGTAGAAATATTAAGTTTGTGTGATGGAATGACAGATTTTCCCCACAAAATTCCTGAAACAATTAGTATATGAGAGAGTCAATTTTCATTCTTGAAATTACTCTACAAAAAAAGATTCTTTTTAAAAAATCTTTATAGAGAATATTTTCTCTCATGACTCACCACGCACATGCCTCTTGTATACCTATTTAATTGAAATAGGGAAATACATGGTCAGACTTGCTACCATTATATATCAACTTATCTAATGCTTATTTTCTTCAAGCATTGTGAGGTTTTTATACCTAGCCTTGTAACATGTTGGGAAAACTCATTCTCCCTTTGTCGCACATTAAATTTGACCATTATTTAGACAATAAAATAAAAAATCTGTGAACATCGATTTTTACTTAAATTCTGTAGAGCTTTCTATGGAGAGACATTAGAGGTGTTAAAAAGAGGTTTTTGAATAGGCAATAAAGAAAGAAATGATGTATTTTGTACCATTCACCCTTTATTTGCATTTACTTAATGTTTCTTGTTTTTGTTTTTAAGTGGGTTGTGTTAATTTTATCTATAACTTTTCCTAATTTGTTACTTATTGTATAAGAACAGGTTTAAGTTCTGAGTCCTTATTTGCTAGAGATGAATTGTGAGAATGATTAGGTTTTTTAAGGCATAAATGCTAAAGCAGAATTTTTTCTCCCTATATCATTTGTTTCATAAGTAATTTAAAATTACTGTTCAGGGAATATAATATAGATCAAAATTTTAGTACTGGAGGTGGAGTTCAGGGGACAAACTAGAAAGGAGCTACCAGGTCTCTCTTACTATTTCCATTTCCCCGTTTTGTTTCTTTTTGATAGCTATACAGAATCGTAATCCTGGGTGGTATCAGGCTCTAACTCATGGTCTTAATGAAGAACAAAGAAAGCAGTTACAAGATATAGCAACTCTGGCTGATCAAAGAAGGGCTGCTCATGGTATGTTAATTTGACCATAATCCCTCTTGAATGCAGTTCATGTCTTGCTATAGGTTTAAATTTTTATGTTAAATTATTTTTAGCTATATAAATGCTCCAGTTGTTGGTGATAGGAATCCACTCTAACCTGAAGGAATGAAATTAAATTAAATGAATTTTTAGTTTGGCTACTTTATTGATTTTAAGTGTAGTTGAAGACTACTTTCAGTGTGCAGAAGCTTTGCGGTTGCTCAAGCACATGGTGATGGCTTGTAGTTGAAAATCTTATTAAAAGTATAAAAAAATTAAAAGTTATGGAAACAACTCTTTAGCATTACCTTATTCTTTATCTTCAACCAGTATGCATTTCAAAAAAGGACACTTTCGTCTGGCCAGCCAGCATGGCTCAGTGGTTGAGTGTTGACCTATGAACTGGGAGGTCACAGTTTGATTCCCCACCAGGGCATATGCCTGGGTTTGGACTCCATCGTAGTGTGGGGCTTTTAGGAGGCAATTGATCAGTAATTCTCTTTCATCATTGATGTTTCTATCTCCCTCCCTCTCCTGTCCTTTCTGAAATATATATATATATATATATAATTTTTTTTTTAAGGACATTTTTGAGGATACTCTAAATTTGGAACTTTGTTCTCCAAAGTAGTATGATCACATGTTCTATTAAATTGCCACTTATTTGTTTTCTAGAATCCAAAATGATTGAGAAGCATGGAGGATACAAATTCAGTGCTCCAGTTGTACCAAGTTCTTTCAATTTTGGAGGCCCGGCACCAGGGATGAACTGAGTTTCCACTTTCTTTCCTGCTGTGTGATTGTAGTGATGAGCTTGTGTTCCTCCTAGTAGCGGTTTCTGAACTGGTTCATGTTATCCACTCTAAACTAATTGATCAATAGATGGACAAGCAAACAAAAAAAACCACCAAAAAATACACACAAAAAACAACAGGAGGTCAGACCTGATCATGGAACTTGGCACTGAAAAGGAAACCAGAGGGATTTTGTGGGGGTAGGGAGACAACTTGGAGGAGGGTATTCCCTTTATTTTTTGAAGAAAGTAACATTCTGACTGAAAATTCAAGTGACACTGTGGAAATATGAAACAAGAGGGGATGTCATGAAGGCAGCTTTTCTTTTTCTGAGGAAAAAATAGGCATGGGCTACAGGACTATTTAAACTGTCTCATTTACAGTATAAGCTCAAAAGGTAGAGTAATTTCTATGCCTATGAGTATTTGTCCGATTTCTGTCTCTTCCTCATTGTCGGGTATCTATTCTCCATATCTAAATAAGGTAATTGACAACCTTATTCCATTTTCATCTTTTCACTCATCAAAGATTGTTCCTATGTAGATTATTGGACATTTATTGTAGCACTACATAACTGATTTTTTAAAATCTGTAAATGAATTAGCACTTTCATATTGAAACAAGCCTGCTAGCCTATGTATAAAATAGCAAAATGTTTGCTGTTTATAAAAAGAAGGGATATAATGGGGTGGGGGGGCAGGGGTAATTTCAAGTTATTAATTTAAAAATGAACTAGCAATTTTGTACCTGGTGACTTTGTGGTGCACTCACCTCTGATAGTGACTTGAATTCGGTATGTTAAAAGGGGATAATGATATTTCATTGCTGCTAAAAAAAAAAAATGGCAATTCCCTCTGTGTCCTGCTTTTCTTAAAGCTCTCAGTGTACAAGTGGATATTTGGATACAAGACCTTACTGTAATAAGAAAGGTGATACTTGAAGCATGTAAATTGGATATAAAGTTCTACTCTTAAAGAGTTATCAAGAGTTATGGCTAACCATCGATATATGCAATCTATTAAAAGGACTTAATTCGACTATTATGTCTTGATTTGATCGCAGTGTTTTCCTCATTATAAGAACTTTTTCTTCATTGGCCTGTTTTTATCTTGTAGCTAGAAAGAGTGCAAAATGCACACTTTTAAAATTTGACATTCAATACATATCCTCCCCCCTTACCCCATTTGTGGTATCTGATTTCAAATAGATAGGCTGATGGCACATGGTTCCCTCCAAAACCACTATTGATACCACTGCAAAAATAAGCCAATAACAAGACAATGAGAGAGGTTGGCTTACTTCCCTCCTAACTGCATGTTAAAAAATAAGCCTTTATTGATCTTAAATATCTGTCAGATGGGTCATACATTGGGTTATTTTTTATATACATGTATACAACAATATTTCAAATTGAAAGCAACATCTCAATGAATTCAAACTAAATGCTGTTATCTATAACAGATTAGAAAATTTATTGATATTTAAAATGCATAATGAAGAAAACTCATTGGTGTTGTGTTTTTCTTGTATGCCAATAATTAAGCCATTAATGTTGGCACTGTTTGGTTTTCTATTTTAACACTGAAAGGAGTGAAAGTATTTCCTATATTTATGAATTTACTATGAAAATCTTGAGAGAAAAAAAGAATTGTCTGTCGAAAGTGTTTGAGTGAAAACTGTTAATCAAGTGTGTTTCTTTTTCCCCAAATTGGATACCATCTGTGTATACCCTAGGCAACTTAAGGGGATTTCACTATTAGATAAAAATCGATAAAATGGAGTAGTTGTATATATGAAACATTGTGTACAGAGGGGAGATATTGAATAGTATTAAACATTTTTGTCTTCCTTTATCTTTTTCCCCCTACTTAATATTTAGTCTACTTTTTAAAATTCCAGACTTCACTGCTCTTTGAACTGATAATTCCAGTTTTCACATTGTTATTGGAAAATCATATCTAATAAAAGTTTTAGTTATTCCAGTGCATAGTATGAAAATTCTCATTTGCTGAGCTTATGTTTCAAGAAAATGTATTGGTATGTCTTTGAGAACAAGTTTTATTGTTTCTTTTGTCAGACAATCCAAACTAATTTCCATTTAGGGATTTTAACGGAAATTAAAGTCCTTAAAATTAAACTTAATTTTATAGTGTTATAATGGTATTTTCTAATGCATCTAATGTATACCTCAATTATTTTTCTTACGCATTGAATTGTAGTTTCTTAATAGATTATGAATCTTGATGTATCTGTTTTTAGGTAAGGTTGTAGGACTTTTGAAGATTTTTAGAATATTTATAAACATGTAATTAGTTGCATGTAGATTTTATTTAACAGTCTTTCCCACAATTTCACTAACCTATAACTTATTTTTTAATTTATAAAAATCTGATTTTCTATGGGTTTCAGTACTTGTTTTTTCAGAGGTTGACAGCATATAGTCTTGACTTTTTTGTAAATATAAGCTATCCATCTTTTAAAAACTTATTCATTTATCAGTATAAATAAAGGAAGTTTATTTGTTTCTCTGCAGGTTATCAGTTGGTGACTGTTATGTTCACCTCCAGAAGAGACTAGAATATAGAGCAGGGCTGATACACCTTGGCCACTGTGGCTCAGCTGGGGGTTGTCCTGTGCACAGAAAGGTCGCTGATTGGATTTCTGGGTCAGGGCACATGCCTGGGTTTCAGGTTTGATTGCTGTTTGAGGCACATGCAGACGACCAATTGATATTTTGTTCTCATGTCAATGTTTTTCTCAAAAACAACAAAAACAGGATTGATCAAATCACAACCCTATCCTATATATAATAATAAAAGGTAATATGCAAATAGACCTAACTGCAGAACAACCAAAGTACAATCCTATATACTATATAATAAAGAAGTAATATATAAATTGACCCTCACACAAGATGGCTGGCAGGGGAGGGCAGTCGGGGGCTATTGGGCTGGAAGGGTGAAGCAGTTAGGGGTAATCAGGCAGGCAAGCAGTTGAGAGCCAGCAGTCCTGGATTGTGAGAAGGATGTCCCTCAAGGGGTCCCAGATTGGAGAGGGTGCAGGCTTGACTGAGGGACACCCCTCCCCTTCTTACCTCCAGTACATGAATTTTGTGCACCAGGACTTCTAGTATGCTAATAATATGCTAAGGATGCTCAACCGCTCACTATGATATGCACTGACCACCAGTGGGGCAAATGCTCTGGCCAGTAGGTTAGCTTGCTGCTGGGGTCCAGCCTATCAGGACTGAGCAAGATGGGCCAGACATGCCCTGGAGCCTTCCTGTAGTCTCTCCTCTGCCCAATCATGCACTGGTGGGGTCCTTCAGCCTGGCCTGCACTCTCCATAATGGGGGATGTTGGAGAACTAGTTTCAGCCTGAACTCGTAGGCCTCTCCACTTGGGAGGGCGCCAGACACGGATTGTCATGGCTGACAAGCGCTGCTGCAGCAGCATTAGCCTCTCCCAATGGACTATGATGGCAAGTACAATGAGACAGATGAGTGGAAGCAGCAGGTGGCATTGGACTACAGTTTTCAACCCAGTCCCTGCAGGCTGCCCAGAGGGATCCCACCCATGCACGAATTTGTGCACCTGGCCTCTAGTTCCTACCGTACTTTCCAGCGTATAAGACAATCCCCTAATTTTACAGTTAAAACATAGGTTTAGGCCTATATTCGCTGTATAAGACTACCCCCCATTTCCAAGGTAACACCAGTTCGTTTTTTAATAGACCGCCTCTCTAACTCAGCCAATCCGAGCAGGCTTTTTATGCATGCAAGTTATACATGTTCTGTACCCGAAGCTACACTGTGTTCTAGTAAAAAGCCTGCTCAGATTGGCCAGAGTCAGAGAGGCGGTCTATTAAAAAAAGAACTGGTGTTGCCTCGGAAGTGGGGAGTAGTCTTATACAGTAAATATAGGCCTAAACCTATGTTTTAACTGTAAAATTAGGGGGTCGTCTTATACGCCAGAAAATACGGTGTATATAATAAAAGCCTAATATGTTAAGTGGCCAGTTGTCCATTTAACCAAAGCATGATATGCTAAGGCCACTCAACCGCTCACTATAAGGTGCACTGGCCACCAGGGGAAAGATGCTCTGGCCATTAGGTTAGCTTGCTGCTGGGGTTCGGCCTATTGGACTGAGCAAGATGGGCTGGGCATGCCATGGGTCCTTCAGTCTGGCCTGCACTCTCTTGCAATCCAGGCTGAGGGACACCACCACTCCCATCCCCCACCACATGCTAATTGGGCCCTCTAGTTGGTTATATGCTGCTATTCACCCCCAGATATAGTCCCTGAGGCAAGCAGAAAAGAAAATTCACTGAGAATTGTATTAATATGACTTTTGGGAGATCTTGCATAATGCTATATACAGTAGGTCCTTGGGATATGTTGGAAATCTGTTCCACCAGTGAAAATAACAATTTTCACCATAAATCGGAACCTACCTACATAAGCACCTATGTCACATGGAGCACATACATAGCAGTAATGAAGTGAAACAGTAAAAAAAAAAAAAAAAAATTAGAAGGTAACATTTTCTGACCTTGTAGATAATAAAAATCATAAAGCACATATGTACATACATTGAAATGACAGAACTTTTTTTTTTATAAATGGGGAGATGGCAATGTAACCACAAAATGATGTATGTCGAGTCTGACATAACCCAATGACTGCCTGTACTAGGCATTTCAGTTTGTAAGGCAAATGACCTACAACTACATTAAAACTTCAGTCATAAAAATGTCAGCTCTGTTCTACATAGTTTTGTTGATGATTACCTGTGACTATTAGTATCCCCTCTGAGCTTCAGGTTTTGCAAAACCTTGATGAAGTTAGAATAATGCTTTGGTGCATGTATTTCTTACAAAAGGAAACTAGATCCTAGCTAGGTTTTTATCACTACGGTAGGAATAAATATCTTTTAAGTAAATTTTTTAAAATTTATTTACTTTTACAGAGAGGAAGGGA